AGAGAGAGAGAGAGAGAGAGAGAGAGAGAGCAATAAAAATATTTGTCAGAATCCGGTGACCATTTACATCTATTAGTTTTTTCCTATTTCAAATATTTTTATGTTAGAAATATTTAGAATGCATGTAATAGTTAAAACTTACAAAATTATTAATTAATTTGCCATGTTTGCTTGCGCGCGTGTGCGTGATGTGAAAATCTGACAAAAAAATTAAGTTCTTCTATTCATTCGATAACAAAAAAACAGACTTATTCTGGTTTATATCAATTGTAAAATAAATTGGTCGCTTTATTTATATTTATTATATTGGCGTAGCTGAAATATTTTCTGTCAACTTTATCTTCTTATTATTTTTATTGATTAATTGTTAATCTCATAATGGTTTTTTTCTGTTTCCTGCATTAGTTTCATGTATTAGACGCTTTTATTCAGAAACTCTTATAAGAAAAATCTTAATATAAAAATTGTTTATTTAAATGACTATAGTAAACTTTTATCCCATAAATGATAGTGACTCTTATCCTATTTATTTATAAATATATTTATAAAAAAACACGATTCCATTATATAGAAATTAATCTTTATAGTGCTATAAATATAAATTAAATAAAAATAGAAATATAATATTATGAAAATCTGTTAGTTTTAATTTCCTACAAAAGTAATGAATTTTTCCATTGATTAATTGATTGAGAACAATCAAGATTTTATCACATATTAAAATAAACTAATAACAAAATTGTACATTTTTTGTTATTGATTTTCGTGTATTACAAAAATTGCATTTATTTATTACGATTATTACAAAAATCAGGTTCTTGTTTTTCGCCTCAGTCTATTGCGATCTAATACGTCAAAGGAAATCAAATTATCATAGAAAAATCAATATGAAACGACGAATAGTTACACTATCTGTCCAGGCCACGAATAGTATTATCCTGAGACGTAGGATTTATCATTTTCCGGTGCCACGGCAATGAAAGGGTAAAGTGATATTAATGACTTTAACGTGATGGCGGCTTTGTTCTCAGCATTGTGCGTGCTAACATTATATTGGTATGCTCTGTGCGCAAAGAGTATAAATCATGATTATTCGACGAAATTACGAAAAAAGAATTTCATAAGAGTACCGCATAAATTGGAAATACATAAATATATTCACGGCCACGAATTTTTGATTTTATTAAAATATTTAGTCTTGTTAATGTAAATCTATTTTAAGTCAATATTTTTGTAGTAAATACTAATGTTATCTCTCAGCTGAGCACTCTGTATTTCCCGATTTTGAATTGTGATTTTGGAAAATTTTCTGTTGACCTTCGGAAACAGCTGTGGTGGGCAATTAGTAATGAGAGTATTAAACTTTCTTTAGCCCCTACTCGATTTCCTCCTTATCCTTACGGTTTGTAAATGCCTAGCATTCATTATATACAACCTCTGGGTGTACTACACCCGAGCTCCAGTTGAGGGTTATATTTTGATATATAAAATTGACACAAGTACTATTGTATAATAATTTGATAGCTAGTATAATAAACATTAAATAATTATAATACACCTATCACACCTATGTGTAGTTAAACCACTGATAATTTATATAACTTTAATGGGGTTCACCACGATGATAATCGTTCGCAGATTTATTGCATTTTGATAATACTGACAATTATAGTATATTGATACCTGTGCTTGAAACACTATTTTGGAGGTTTGCGCATGAATTGGAACGCAAATTTTATTCATTTGTACGCGCGCGCACGATGATAATTATTTTCAGTCTTCGACATTATCCGCGCTGTTTTCGATAATTGGCACAATGCTATGTTGGTCGTTTCGGATTAACATAGAATTAATTAACGATACGAAATATTCGATATCGATGAAGCATGATGCTCTTCGTAAAATGCAATCATAAATCAATGAATTGCACATTAGTAATTAATTCTAAACTTTCACGCAATTCAGTTCATGATACTGCATCAATAAATAAATAAATTAGTATCCTTTCTACAAGATTTCGATAAACTGTATATCAAAGATTATTCATCTACTTTAAAATAACGACTTAACAATGTTATATATATATATATATATATATATAAATGTGTGTGTGTGTGTATGTGTGTTAATACAGATCAATATACATATATATACATATAATATATGTTAATAAAAAATTGAAAGTGTTTAAAATCTATTTGTTAAGTAATGTAAGTTTTTTTTATATTTAATTGATTTTTAAGGAGCTAATCGCTAATTGCACAAATCACGGCTTTCCGTTATTAATTTTTTCAAATGTCACTGTTTTTATCATCTTATAGCATAGTTAATCAACATTGATAATCAGCCGTAATTAACAAAAAGCGATGAGAGCAGCGCTTGATAAAAGTCGCGAAATTGGATTTAATATCGCTCGACCGTATTTCCTGTATTTCCCTCATATCCGAGATGGTTATTCCTTCATGGAATCGAATCGCTACCGAAAATTACTTGTACGTTTACGATGTGTTCCGTGACGATGAATTTGCGGACTGCCAAGGATTTCGTTAGGTCGGAAATTAATTAACGCGCGTTGATCGTTCGATTCCTTAGGAAGCTCGCTTACTCGTTCATTCGTTCGTTCATCGCAAGGACATCGCTGATGGTCACCGCATCAACGATCGACGTTCCGCTTTGCAATTAATTAATTTCTTTAGCGTTTATTAAGCTAAGTTAGTAGTTAATTTGTTGAACGTGTTATAGTCGTAATATTTGACAATGACATTGTGCAGGATCTTGCACAAAAGACATCCATTCTGATATCCATTTTACGGATATCAATTAATTGCAATAATTAATGATCTGAAATGCGAGTACTAAATCAAACATGCTCAATGCACATTGCGTAGTTTCATTAATTGCATTTATTTTTCACTGTGTCAATTATTTTTACTTTGCGAATTATAACGTAAAGAAATTCTTGAAAAATATATTACACCGCCTCTGATGTGCTTATGATTTTGTGAAATATTCAAGCGTTATAATAGAAAAATTTCATGCTATAGAAGAATCTTGATTTATCAAACTTCCTCTTCTCGATTAAATTCTACATTTGCAAATACAGAAAGAAACGTTCTTTAAATATGAAAACATGCTCGCTTTATTATTTTACGAAGATAACGCTGTTAAAAGCTTTTCAAATATTTCCACAAACGCGGTCAATGTCGTCAAATTAGTAATCGATTGACTTTACATGTCTCGATCTCGAATTTTGAAAACGTGAAGCGACAGTTCGATCCTAAAACGTAGTCTCTCTCTCTCTCTCTCTCTCTTAATTTGTTTCCCAGATATTTTCTGCCAAAGTTGAAGAAGTCTTTCAGGCTGATATTCATAATCAATCTTTATTTTGAGATTGTCTTAAGTAATGTCTTAAATAACGTCTTAATATGCTAATACTTACGACTCTGTGATTGATTTATGACATCTTAAACCGATTTTAAATATAAGAATCGACTATGAATATCGGCTTTAGTGATTTCACTATCATTTTGTTAAATATATAAACAGGAATTTAAACAAACGCTAACATATTGAGAAGCACATTTTTAAAATAACTTTTTATTCTTTCTTAATCCACTTAAAGAATACAATTTACCATTTTGTTAAAAGTTTTTTGTTAATTTTAAACTTTAATATAAATTATGCGGCACAAGGTTATACAATGACGAAAGTTTAAATTGCGGTCACGATGTCGCATCGTTCGAAGTGAACAAGAACTCTGTCAAAAATAAAACATAAAATGTTTTATATAAAATAACCGTATTTTCGAAGAAGAATAATAATAGAATAATTACAAAGACAAAACGGTATTACTTAAATTTGCTGGAATTCGAGTAAAAATACCGTCGCCTCGATACAATTTAAAAACAAACGTGAATCGTTAGATTATCGAATTGTGAAAATTAATCACGCGAATTACTATAATCGATAATTAAGTAATCCTTACAAGAAATGATTGCGTTTCATTTAATAAATTAAAAACAAGGAAATAACACATTATTATATTTTGTATACTTTTATACTTTTCTTTAATTTTAATACTATCAAATTACAAAGTATAATCAATTAAAATAAGCTCTTGGCTAATTTATTAAAGAGTAGGTATCAATAAAGTTTCGGGATCTCAACATGAAAGAAACTTATGAAAAATATAATTAGAGGACTATTTAAAAAATGGAATATTAAATCTCTTATGCAATATTCTTAATTTCTAACAATTTCTACAGTATATTTTCCATATGAACTCAAATGTACAAACAATATATCAAAATATACTAAATAAAATGATAAAAGTTGCAGATTAGGTTGCTCTGGTATGTCGATTCCAGATTAACTTGCCATGCAAAACAACTTAACTGTAGATTAGATATACTCAACGAAACACTCTTCTGCATCTTTCAATTGTCTTCTTTATATCAAAAACAAAAAAGATGGAAAAATTGATAATCTGCTTGGATATTACAGGTATTGATCGACACTTTTGCTCATCGTTCAGATTATCGAGAGTTTCTGGCTAGTTTCTAATAGTTGTAGTATCACAAGGAAATGAAAGATAGTTTGTAACATAATGCGATATAAATCAAGCGCGACAGCGATTGTCCGACATCACCAGCAACGGGCATAATTAATTTTCAGAGGGAATCATTTCGCCGTTAAACTTCTTGACAAGCCGATAAATTGATGCCGCAACGAAACCTCCCGCGATTAATCCTCATGATAATTGATCGTCAACCATATATGCGACGACACTGTCGCGTCGGTTGCCCTTGTCGTTCGAGACGGAGAAATAACGAATGTAGGTACGCACGTCGAGTATCAGCGGGATATCGGTTTCTGTATTTTTGGTTAATCGCCAATAATTCCCTGGCCGGAGGCCCGACCTGAACGGACTAATGTCCCTGAT